TCAGGGTTGATTCATGTTCAAAGAGCCCCTGGCATGCTCATCGTGCAGGCCATCTCCGGTATGCAGCCCTAATGCAGCCCTCAACCCTGCCATCCTAATCTCTCTCTACACCGACTCTTCCCAACCCCTGTCCTGTTCCCTGTCCCTCCTCCTTGCCCACCTTCCCTGTGACCTCTCCTCCCTCGATGATTTGCTCCTCATTTGTTTCCTCCTGTTTCCCATGCCTCTCCTCCTCCCACTTCCTCTCCATCCCCGTCCTTCCCTCTATCCAGCTATCTCCTCTCCTCACTGCTGTTGCTCCAGACAGCCACGAGTTCAACTGGGAGACTATGGACATGTCACACACGGTCAACCACCTGTCCTTTGGTCCCTTCCTCTCCGAGACAGGTGAACTCTCGATTTCTCCTCTCCTCCAATGCTTCTCTCTCCTACTCCTCGCCCTTTCTCTCCTCCCACTCGTCCTCCCAGCTCTCACTCCTTTCTCCCTCTCTCACTCTTTTCTCCCTTCCGATCTCTGACTTGACCTGCTCCTTACAGATTGGTTGGTCCTTCCACCCCACATCGCCCACTCAGTCGGTAAGATGCTTCTCCCCGCCTGCCCATACTAGCCCTCGCTCATCAAACCCTCCCTGCTCCACTGTCGTCTCCCGCCCTCTCCCCTCCTTCCTCCTTCCCTCTCCTCCTTCCCTCCCTTCTCCTCCCCTCTGCCTCTTTTCCGCTCACTTTCTTGCTCAAAGGCTCTCTGGATGACAAGGAGTTTACATCCGACCAGCACATCCCTACCACCCACGAGCACTACATCAAGGTAACTCCCCTTCTCTCCTCTCCTCACTCCTTCCCCTCTTACTCTTCCTCTCCTTCTCCTTCTCCTCCTTTTTTCCCGCCCCCTTCTTTCTCTCTCCCTCTGCTCTTTGTGATGATCAGGCTCCCTCTCCCCATTTCCTTCTTCTCCTCTTCCCACACTGCCCACGTTTCCCATACCCTTGACAACTCCCACTCACCTCCTCACTTACTCACCCTCTCTCCTCGCTCCTCCTACCCTCGCCCTCTTCTTTCTCTCTCCTCGCTCCTCCTACCCTCGCCCTCTTCTTTTCCTCTCCTGCTCCTCCTCGCTGCTTCTCGTCTCATGCTTTGTCTTGTTCTCTTGTACAGGTAGTGAAGCACGAGGTGACGCCTCCTTCCTCATGGAGGATCCCTCCTGTCACCAGCTACGGGTGATCCTCCTCCTCCTCCTCCTCCTCCTCGTCGTCCTCCTGCTCTTCCTCCGCGGCAGAAGAGAAGAAGAAGAAGAAGAAGAGGAGGAGGGGTGAGGAGGAGGAGCAGAGAAAGCAAACGGAAGCGTGTTCCAGGAGGCGTAGGGGAAATACATGATAACGTGGGCAATAACAGCGTGCAGATGATCACCCGGTGTCCTACACCTGGCTATCGTGGTTTGCTA